GCTTGACGTTCTTTGTTTTACAATTTGTATTTATTTTTCACTTTTATTTTTATTTAGTTTGTTTAATTATACTTTAATACAGTTTTTTTTTTTTTTTTTCCTTCAGGGGGGTAGGGTGGGGAAATATGTTTTCATGATTCTCCTGTATCTGTATCCTGTTATTATTGTAAAAATTCAATAAACAAATTTAATTAAAAAAAAAAAAACTGAATACAGTTTCCGTGCTGTTTGGATGTATTTTAAAGAGTTGGCAGTCAAAATTAAAACAGCTGAATAATAGATATTCTTTATTCTTTATGACAAATAAGATAATGTGAATTACAGAATGTACAACGTTTTTTAAATGTATCAAATGCGGTGTACAGCGTTTATTATGAGGGGGAAGAATCCACAGCTCAGTACTCACTACTCAATACTCATGAGTACTTTTAAATAGGCTACTCTTTTACTCTTACTCAAGTAGTTTTTTGGACAAGTACTTTTACTCTACTCACACTACATTTTTTGGAAGGTAATGGTACTTTTACTTGAGTATATTTTTTCAGTACTCTTTCCACCACTGAATAAATTACACAAATGACTATATTCACATTGATTATAATAATAGATTACACACATGGCTATATTCACATTGATTATACTTGATTAATTCATATTTTTATTAATAAAATATTCTACAATCTTCCCTCCGTATAATACCAGGGTACTCAACAGGTGGCCCACAGGCCGCATCCAGCCTGTCTGCCATAATAATATTTTTTTAATATAATTTGTGCTCAAAAGTAGCGCAAATATCAGACAGTGTGACTTTGTTTGTGTCATTTAAATGCAGTTATTTTTTACTACTACTACTACTACTACTACAACAACTAATATTAATAATAACTTTGTTTTGCAACACTGAGTATAAAAATGCAGCATATGAAGAAAACCTAATGTATCAATTTATGGAACATATATTATAGGCCTAATAAATTGTTAAATATTAAAATATATAATATAAAGATAATATTAGCCTATATTTGATGGTGCTCAACATATACATCATGAAGTAGTCACGATTAATCAAAATCTTTTTCTTTTTGCAATTTTTAATTAAATGCATACATGCAACAATCTCTGCAAGTGCTTCGAGTCAAGTCACTTATAATGTGCATTTGAAAAAAAACAACAAGCATCAAACAACTTAAAGAGAAGCGTTGTCCAACAAAAGAGAACATTTATTAAAATGATTTTACTTCACAACATCAGTTGTGTTTTAAATAACTTCATTTTGTGATCTTATGTGACTTTTCATTACAGAACGAGGCAGAAAATATATTATATACTGTAATAGCTATGTCACTTAGCATTGGATTATAAATATACTTTATCATTATGAAAATACTAGAGATGGCTTGAAGAACACAGATAAACCATATATTGTCACAGTCGTGTTTACTGTCATCACTAGGGATGGGTATCGTTAAGGTTTTAACGATATTACTACTCTTACCGATACTGCTTATCGATTCGGTATTTTAACGGTATTCTTATCGGTACTTTATATATATATATGACAAATTAAGAGCTGAATTAACATTGCTTTATATTCTGAAATGTAAAATAAATATTTAATGAAATGAATATAAAACGTCAATTTGTAAATGCACCAGTGTGCAGGCATTTTTAATGTTTTATATATAAGATAAGATACAGTAAGAACATGAAGAAAGTAAAACAAAATGACAAATACAATAAAACAAATATACAAATGAAATGAAATAAACAGTGCTGTCATTTTCCCATGAAGTTCTACTAACATTACTGTTCAGGTAAGTAATAGCCTACAAAAAAAAATCTAAAAGTAATCAAATGTAAATGAACACTGCATAGTTTTCAGTGTATGTATTGATAGATTAATGCTTATTAAAGCTATAACGTTATTCAGATTAAGAGATTTTTAATAGCTTTACCTCGTTTTCTTTTCTATAATCCTTAGAAGCCAAAATCGAAATAAAAAAATTAAATTAGCTTAATAAAACCGCCTCAGGCCTAAAGTGTAAGCAGAAGTTTGAATGTTTAGTTCTCTCTTCTATCATAATTAAACAGGGCTATCATGTTGCGCGTGCTGAAGCTCCTCCGCGTGAGCGCGATCTCGCTTCTGAATTGCGAATAGCAAAAATGCATCAGACAAATGTTTGAAAAACAGCTGGCGACTCTGGGGAGATAGAATTTGCAAGATACTATATATATAGTAATAATAAATGTATGTGTTTTATTAATTTCTATAGTACCGATAGCAGAACCGTTAACGTCAGTTTATCGATACTCCAGTCTTTCATAATTTAGCCCCGGTACCGATTAAATACCGGGTTTCGGTACCCATCCCTAGTCATCACGTTTGATCAGTTTCTATCTTCTTTCTTCAGTCACAGTGATATCTGGATGTCTTCGCCCTATTATGGATTTCCTGGAGCATCATCAGTTCTGTTACTGTGACAGGGCCGTAGGTGACAACATGAAGACAGCATGAGATTCAAGAGGAAGAAGTTTAATAGCATTCAGCAAGCAAACAAATCCAAATCACTAGACTGTATCGTTGTAGATGAAACAGGCAGGTTTCTAATACACAAGAAGTCAGTCCAACCAGGCAAACAAGGCAAAAATGGTAATCCAAAAGGCAGTAATCAAACAAGGCAGGCACAATGGTCATAACAGTAGGGCAACACAATGAAAGATAAATGCTCGTTAAGGCAGTGAGAACTGGCAATACTTAGCAGTGTGCAACAGGATCCGCATGGTTCAAATAGGGTACAAAACAAGAAGTAACCAACGAAGAAACAGACAGTCAGTATTCAGGAGAAGGCTCCCTCTGGTGGCCGGATGGATGGCTACGAGCCCCATCCATTACAGTTACCATAGATATGTATATTATATCTATGTCTACATGTGTTTACTGCTCAGTAATACACACTCAGTCATATTTTGGGCATAGATAGTTCACAAATTTATTTAGAAGTATTATGTTTCCTATGTTTGCTCAAGAATATTCTGAGTTTGAACATTCTGAGTTTATTTAATACTCTGAGTATGAATGATTTTTTTGCATTAATATAGCAAACAAACTTTTTTTTTTTTTTTTTTTAACAAAATTATTTTTTTCCTTTTTAATTTTTTATTTTCATGTTTAGTATTGTTTGAAATAGGACAAGGACAAGCAAGACTTAGATAAGTAATAAACTGCATTTTTTTTTGTTTATTGTTTGCCCACAGTATCAAATTAAACTGCATTTCTAAATCAGTAAAACTGCAAATATTGTCTTAAAGTCTTATAATGCAAATTGTAATTTGTGGCTCATCGCATTTCATGTGGTTTAAATGGGGCCCCCTTGGCCTCTGAACTTGAGTACCCTAGTATAATGCATAATTTTTTTTGTTTTTAAGCACTGTGCTGCTTTGTTTATAGCGGTGACCAAGGAAACACTGTATTGCTTCTGCTCCATAAGTGCCACCTGCTGTCAGAGAGTGAATTTGCATTTTCATTCAGCCCTTCTGCTGTTTTTGTTTCATGCAGATGTTTTATGTAACATAATTTCACAAAGCTAAAGCCAGACCATGCTGTTTTTGCTTTAAATTGCACAATTACTATCATCTATTATTATTATCTAATTCACATCATAAACAGCTCATGCTACGTGCAGCGTCTTTGTTTGGACAGTGATAAAAATGAAGTTGTTCTATAATTATTTCATGCATTATGAGTCTTGTAAAGGCCCAGCCTGGGAAAAACCATGATAAACCATGAAACCATCAGCTGCTCAACAAATCACGACACAAATTCTGAATACATTGCCTATGTATAGCTTCCCACTGGGATCCATTTTCAGAAGGAGATGCGGGAGACTGTGAGATGTGTCTGCTGAGGACGACACTGCACACCAGTGCCACCATCTGAGGATGAGTGGGAACACATGCAGACAAATGCACAAAGACAGACGATCAGCATGTGTGCAGCACTGGACACACTTCCAGTGTGTGTGGATGTGAACCGATATAAAGTTCAGTGTGTGTTCAGATGGACTCACCATGATTCCAGCCATCCCTAGAAACCCACACAACACCAGAGGCGCGTTGGAGTTGAACATGTCCTGGATCACTCTGGGACAGCGCTAACAAACACACACAAACACACACACATGAGCATCTGCTTTGCTCCTCAAACATCACACATTCAGAAATAAAAGTAAAGACCCCTTCACACCATGGATAATAACTATGATGATAAAGATATACTTTAAAAAAATCTTTCTAAATGTAAAAGAATCCACAGCACAACTATAATGATAACGAGGAATTATATAATTGGATTCATTTTCAGAATTGTTTCTTTCCAGCTGATGAATGATAAAAAAACATTGACATCAAATCAGAATCCATCCTGCTTTAAAGAGCTGAAGTACTCAAAGTGTTATAAAACTACAGCGCACTTAGAATAAACAGAATGTTCACTGATTTGGCTGCTAATATAATTATTGCTAGAGTTATTGTCAGCTGGTGAACAATAATGTAGTTTTTGTTATAGTTATTGTCTGCTGGTGAGAACTAGTGTTGTCAAAAGTACCAACGTCGTTACAAATTAAGATTTCTGAAATTTAAATTTTTTTTTACAATACCATCATTTTCCCCTTGCTTTTTGAGCACTGTTAAGCAGATTCTTAAAGACCTCTGCATGGCCATTGTGTTCACGTGCTCAACAGTTATGTCTGTGATTGGCTACAATGATCATCGCTTCAAATGCATATACTGTATTGTACATACACATCTTTCATGCTCTTCATTGAGCGCTTACATACACACAGGAGCATTTGAAAGAAGGCATCTATCAGCGGATCCCTAATATATCCACTGATAGATGGAACCTAATATAGTTATCGTTATATTTATGGTCCACTGGGGTAAAAACTAATATAGTTATCGTTATGGTTATCATCCGCTGGTGTAAACACTAATATTGTTATCATTATAGTTCCCTATAAAAAGTTACACTTGATGCCGCATATCATTACACATATGAGAATATTCAATCAGGCCAAGAATTTGGCTTAAATAACCTCAGTCAGTGACATCACTGGAATGCATGCACCTGCAAGGTTATAAATAGATGTGAAATGGACACATCTTTAGGTTTCTTTGTCTTTGGAGACTGCTTTGTGTGCTGTGTGTGTCTTCAGTGTGTGCTGTTGTTTATAACAAAAAAAAGAAAAGAAAAAGAGAGTGGACATGTCTAGCAAGTCTGCTAAGAGATGCTTGCCGCTGTGTGTATGGCTTATCTCGGAGGACGATCACCACTCAACCTGAAGTATGGCAGTCTCTAAGGCCTTTTTTCTGGTGTGTTTGATGTTTGTGAGTTTGAGGGCTAGTCTATCCCGGTCACCTTTGTCAGGTTTTATAACCTAGGTCTGGGGACCACTCCAGGCTCTAGAGTGCTTTTGTCTTGAGAAAAGTTGGTATTCTCATTCCCAAAGCATTCCAATGCAGCTCAAGTTCCTGAAGGGGAACGTTCCTAGGTTATGTCTGTAACCATGGCTCCCCAAAAGGAAAGATACACTGAATCACCCTGACATACTTCCTGCATCCCTGTGAGTGCTTGCTTCGACCTATCAGAAGCTAACAATGTTTACACCGGATGCGCTTTTAAGCTTCCTGGTCACTATGTCACCCCGGCCGTGATGTCCCGCCACTCTATTGGACTGATTTCAAATGTGCTTCAGTATATGGTCACACGTTCCAAAAGCATTCAGATGTAGCATCTCATTACCTTCAATCTGTATTGTATAAAGCACTGTATAAATAAAGGGGACTTGACTTGACTAATGTTACTTATTGCTATAGTTATCATCTGTTGGTGTAAACACTAATATAGTTATTGTTATAGGAAAGGAAAGGAATGGATGTATGGTCAAGTATGGTGACATGTGGTATTTGTGCTCTGCATTTCACCCATCCAAGTGCACACACACAGCAGTGAGTAGTGAACAAACACACACACCGTGAACACACCCAGAGCAGAAGAGCAGCCATTTTTGCTGCGGCACCCGGAGAGCAGTTGGGGTTTCTGTGCCTTGCTCAAGGGTCTCACCTCAGTCGTGGTATTGAGGGTGGAAGAGAGCGCTGGTCATTCACTCCCATCACCGACAATTCCTGCCGGACCTGAGACTCGAACCTGCAACCTTTTTGGTTACAAGTTTGACTCTCTAACCATTAGGTTACTGCCCCAATAGTCAGCTAGTGTGAACACTAATATAGTTATCTTTATAGTTATTGTCCACTGGTGTGAACACAATTATATTAGCATACACACTAGGTGACGATAACTATATTAATCATCATAGTTATTGTCCCCTGGTGTGAATGCTAAAATAGTTATTGTTATATCTTTATGGTTATAGTTTTTGGTGTGAACAGGCTTTAAGACAAACAGGAATTGACTCACATTAAATGGGATCTGCTTCGGGATGTTGCCTTCTGGACAGGTGTCAAGCACAAACTGTTCAATCGGTTCACCAATGCCACAGCAGTCTAACTGGCACACAGACACACACAGCTGTTAGATTATGTTTCCACTGGTTTACCGTCATCATGAGCCGATGTCCTCATAATGTGGTGTGTATTCAGGGTTCAGGCATACATCCCCAACATACAGATGTCCTCATAATTCAAATCAATAAATAAACATGAAAAATATTTTATTTTTTATTAAAAATGTAAAAAATGCAGAACGTTCTCCTTTAGGAGTATGATTATGGTTAGAGACTAAACAAATATTGGATCAGAAAAAAACATTATGTGTATGGGATGTCGTCATAATCATAGGAGTATCAATGTTAGGGTGAACATACTTCCATTTTTTCCCAGACATGTCCTGGCCACGACTTCTAAATCGCCTAAAATGTCTGCATTTTGTCTTTGATCATTCTGTGCAGCACCGCTTCAAGTCAAACACATCTGACGTCAATAGGAAATCAGTGTATGACATCAATGTACCGCGAGGGCAACAAAGCATAAGGAGCGTCTGCTCTCTTATTGCTCTCACAGTAATTTAATGTCATACAACAATCGGTCTGCGCAGTGCCGCTTCAAGTCAAACACACCGATGCTCTCTACAGTCCTCATACATTATGTATATGTGTATTTGCTTTGATTGGACCAAAAGTCATTGGTTGATTATGTACATTGCCTGCACTTTATTGGTCAAACCTCTTTTTCCAGTCATTAACTTTGGTAGCTATGAAAACAATAGCATAACAAAGCCGAAATCCAGCAATTTAGAAGTATGGTCACCCTAATCAACATATGTGTGTGTGTGTGTGTGTATGTGTGTTTGAGACTTACAGTTTTGTGGAATAGTTTGAGAACCATGGTTTCATTATTACGCCTGGTGTGCGGATACTGAGTGTAGATCTTGGTGTAGAAATTTCCCAACCTGTCTGACATCTACAACACAACAAACACTCAAATGCTTTCAAATCTGCACTATTATTCAGATATGTGCTCATGATCTCTGTGTGTGCTTACTTCTCCACGCCACATAAAGGCCGTCACTCCTACTGCGATGTTTATGATGATCAGAAAGGACAGCAGGCCAGAAAACTGAACATCAGAAAAACAGAAATGTTTGTTCAGTACATAAATATAGTTAATCTAATTCAAGTCAGACAATTTTGTCAGTTTAAGTTAACCCTTATAAGCTATCCGTTTGGGATGTACATTTGGCTGTTAGTGTCTCCAGAGACCCCAGATATTAAATGTGAATTTGTAACACAATGTAATATTTAAAAAAAAAAAAATTAATATCACTCAACATTTACTCAACCAGCCATTGAAGATGAGTGGACCAACATTCCACAGGCCACAATCAACAACCTGATCAACTCTATGCGAAGGAGATGTCTTGCACTGCGTGAGGCAAATGGTGGTCACACCAGATACTGACTGGTTTTCGGACGCCCCCCAGACCCCCCAATACAGTAAAACTGCACATTTTAGAGTGGCCTTTTATTGTGGCCAGCCTAAGGCACACCTGTGCAATAATCATGCTGTCTAATCAGCATCTTGATATGCCACACCTGTGAGGTGGATGGATTATCTCGGCAAAGGAGAAGTGCTCACTAACACAGATTTAGACAGATTTGTGAACAATATTTGAGAGAAATAGGCCTTTTGTGTACATAGAAAAAGTCTTAGATCTTTGAGTTCAGCTCATGAAAAATGAGGGCAAAAACAAAAGTGTTGCATTTATAATTTTGTTCAGTGTAATAATTATAGGAAAATGGTAAGTCTGATCAGTCTGAAAAGATATAGCAAACAAATTAGACGTCAGGACCCAAATCTCTGCCAAGTTTTGGGCTTGGGCTCATTAACCTGTTAACCTGCACCCCCCATTTTGGGACTCACAGCTGAAAATTACCTACCTAACTTCAAATTGTAACAGTTCCTGACAACAGTGTGCTACACACACAAATTTGGTGTCTTTGGATGATGGATAGTAAAGCCCAAAGGTCTTCTTTCCAGAGTTGAAAGATAAAAAGTTATAGACACGGAAGTGCCTTGAAAAATTGTACACTGATTTTTTTTTTTTCATATACAAATACATGAAATCAGTTCTGGAGCAATCCAGAAAAGTAATGGGTTGAAAGTCACATGTCTCATGAGTTTATATTTCAAATCTGAAAAAGGTACCATGCAAAATGAGATTCCTGCAACCATTTTTGCTATGGCTATGTCTAGTCTAGTCTGGGCGCCCTTGAGGCAAAAGTGCCAGATTTTTTGCGCGTTTGGTGTTCTTGAGCAAAAACCAAAGTGCAGCAGTTAGGCTATAGTTTTCCTACAATTTTTCTATGGACCTATTCTATTTTTTATTCTAATAAAAAAAGCCTATTACGCTATGACAACAGCTTGGACAGAGCTGGCTAGCTGGATGTGAAATAAGTCATGCCTTTTATTGTTTTCCCTGTTTGTTATTTGTTAATTGTTTGTTAAATTCAGTTATGTCAAAAATTTTGTCAAATCCATTCAAATTAAGATTAAGAAAAATGGTAACACTTTACAATAAGGCGTCATTAGTTAACATTAATTAATGCATTAGTTAATATGATCTAACCATGAACAACACCTCTGTTCAGCAGTAGTTAATCTAAGTTAACGTTAACTTGCACATATATTAATGTTATCTATTCATGTTAACAGCTTAATTAGTTAACATTAGTTAACACATTAGTTAACATGAACTAATCATAAACAATAACTGTAAACAGCTTTATTTAATGTTTGGTAATGTAGACTTGTTGTACATATTTACATTGTTATTCATGTTCATAGGCACTTTACTCTCTACTTATATTGAACAAAGCACTTTAATTAACCTGTTAACCCGCACCTGGACGCCAGCGCACTGAACGCTCTTGTTTGCACGTGTCAATGGTTACGAATAGATTAAATGAAACGGGACAAAATTGGGAGTGATGACGACCATGAATATTTAGTGATTCACACCGGAGAGACAAAGGGCCAAAGATAATGGACCATCAATATGAATGTGACTGAGGCAGGTAAGAAAGAGTGTGAGGAGAGTCAAATAATGTGGGTTTTTGATTATTTGTATTTTAACACAGTATAATAAAAATATACACAGTGAAGGTCAAGGACACATGATTGAACATACTAATCTGAACTCTGAAACTTGAACAGTAACATTCATTCATAGTGTTAACACTTGTACTACTTTTATATCTTGTGGTTTTATATGTTATAAAACATTAAAGAAACATCCTGGCGTTGTGGGACATTTTGACAATGAAATGCCACATATTTCAAAATGTAGTCAGGAATTATAGTTTGGGAGTTATTGAGTTATTCCTCTCAGCGTGTCTGCTTCCAGAAACGAAAAGTAGCCGAGATGAACGCTAAACGTTTGTTTTTGGAGGTGATGTGGGTGTTTACATGTCCGCGCATCTCATGTGGATATTTAGAATTTGAAAAGCGCAATCGGCTCGTGAGCGTGACCGCATTAGTGATAATGAGTTGAGACGGGAAAAACTGGACATCGCGTTGGTTTCATACGGATTACTTTATCAGAGAATATTTGTTTTGGATGTGACTTACTTCATTTAAAAGTAGGCATTTCAATCCTTCTATACATGTATTTCTCATGTATTTGAGGCAAGTATTGTCATGAATTCTGTCCATAGACTTCCATCCGACTGCCACAAGAGATCGCCTCTTTATCATATTGACTCACACACCACACAGACTGTTACATGTCACTCCGGACTACATTTCCCATCATCCGTTGCACTGATTGCTCACAGCTGTAACCAATCACACGCTCACCTGAAAGCTATTACACACATTATATAGCACCCACTCAGATCCTGCTCAAGTCGCCGAGTATTGTTCTGCATTTATCACTCCACTAGTGTTAGTTGCTTTACCGAGCCATTCCGTGTTTCTGTTTAGTCTCTAGGTGAGTGATAAACGCAGAACAACACTAGTGATAGCTGCTTTTAGGGCTGCACGATTGCTAGAATGCGATTGTCATGCGCATTTGTTAAAAAAGCCAGTTCTGTAATCAACAGGAAATCATCATCACATGCTCTCAGATGGAGCAGAATTGAATACACATAACCGTAGTTCACTGACAAGTTACGCAAAAAAATTGCAGACGATTTTATTGCGCGATTCTGAAATCAAAGAAATCGTTCGCGATAATGACAGCTGTTTGCATAGCTTCTCAGTGAACTACGGCTCTGTGAAGTAAATGCTGCTCCATCTGAAAGCATGTGAAAATACCACATTTAATAACATATTTTTACTCCAAACTCACTTCATAACGTCAGTCGAGTGTTTGAAATAAATCCCTGTGTGAGATGATGTGGCTTCTTACACAGAATAAGGCACGCAACATATTTCATAGTATTTAAGCAGTGATAAAGGCATTGCATTATAAATATACTTTATTTGAATGAAAATTATAATAAGAACTCAGATAAACTGTAAATTGTCATAGTTGTGTGTTTATATTAGTCACGTTGAATCGAAGAAAGCAGTTGAATCTTCTGTTTATTCAGCTGCAGCGATAGGCATTTTCTGGGTTTCTTCTGCTCAGCGCGAGAGCACCTTCTGGCCTTTGGATGGAAATTTACTGCTGGTCACAGAACCGTGCTTCACTGAAAGATACGCATGACAATCGCAGCTTCTGTCGAATCACGATCTCGATTCCATTTCGATTTATCGTGCAGCCTTAGCTGCTTTACGGAACCTAGTTTCTAGTTCTAGTTTACTGTAGTCATTTCGTGTTGCCTTGTTTCCGGTTTCCTTATTCCTGCCTGTGTATCTTGGATTAACCCTTGTCTCGCCGCTCGGACTCTGTTTGTACCTCATCTGGACTATTGCTCATTTTTCAGGATTACCCCTCTTGTCAAGCCCTCTGGATTCTGTTCGCCGATCGATGACCCATGCCAGCCCTAAGAATACTCTTTGTCTTTTCTTGCCTGTGTATGACATGTCTATGAATAAAGCTTTGCGTATGGGTCACGTCTCATCAGCCCCGTAACAAGTATTTGCTGAGATTTAGGTTGTTTTATTTACGTGTCTGTGAAGAGAGGTGACGGAGACCGAGATGGCAGAGAGCGCACCGTTTATTTTCTTTATTTTACAAAAGCACATTGTTTTATTGTTATTATGACTATACACAAATAAAAGTAGACCCTTTGCAGTTTCAAATGATACCTTACTGTATTCTTATCTGTACAATAAAAAATTGAGTATTTTAGTTCTTTTCGTGGTCATCAAGAAAATAAGAGACAGACCGCACCATTGTGTGCTTCGACCCCAGAGGGTAAAATAGCATTTCAGTAAGTAATTTGTAGTAATTTCTCAAGCCAACTTAGTAAGAAGACGTTTAAATAGGATTTCAGTAAGTTCGCTTTCTCAAGCAAACTTAATGGGCCTCATTCATGAAACACAAGCAGAACGAATTTTTGTGTAAATCGTTCGTAAGGCCGTTCTGACGTAAACTTTGAAAATACGAAAATTTATGAATTCGAAAATATTAGCTGGTATGAAAGAAATGTACACCTGCTCCCTACCACGCGTAAATGGTGCGTAAAACGTTCTGTGCTCTTTTTTTGGCAAACTGATGACACGTAATTATTATGGCAGTGCATGAAAATTCAAAGTTAATTTGCCCTTGCCCTCTTTTTTTGTAGCTGATAACTGTAAATCCCAGCGCTCGTCACTGTCCACTGTAAATAGAGGACGGGTGGGACAAATAGCAACAAACCATCCTACTTGTACAACGACTGCCTACAACAATGGAGAAGTCAAAATTACTAAGATACTTGTAATACGTTGCCGCCATGGATGTTCCAAATCAAAGCATCTCAGCTGGAAAATGCTGTGCCACCAAAAAGTTTTCAATCTCCACCAGCTGGTCGTTTTAAGAAGAGCACCTGACATTTTTTCAGCTGGCTAAAACCTCTTTGGTGGACACACGTTATTGAATATTTATTGTTAGGCAAATGGCCTATTAGTCTTTTTTGCATTTATTCAATATACTGGAGCCAAACCTGAGAAAGTAGACCAGAATATTCCACTGCGTTTGTGGACACGCAATTTGCATAGCTGTAATTCATAGGTGGGGATTATGCTAATTGTGAATGGGTGTGCACGAGCGCCCTATTTACAAATGATTGGAATTCATTAACATGCACGTTTAAATATCAAATCGGATGTTTACGAAGCGTTTGTGAATCTGGAGGAGAGTTTTCGGGAAGGTGTGTTTTACACGCAAATTACTCAGAATTTACTCATATATTTACATATACATAAGTTTCATGAATGAGGCCCAATAAGTTTAAATAATTTTTTTTTTTTTGGACAAATTATGTAACAAAGCATATTTTTAATTTCCCATTGATGCCTATGAAAAAAATATATTTAAAATGTATTCATATATATTTTTTAAAACCCTAAAATCTTCCCAACACTGCACAAATGTAGACTCTAGCATATTAATAAAGTGAGTGATATTACATTTGTTTAAAAAAATAGTAAGAATAAAGAAATTGTAACAAAATCAGTTTTTTTTTTTCACACTAACACACAGATATCCAGATATCATTTTCAATGTTTTTGTTTGCTTGTTTGTAGAGCTAGCAAGTGTCAACCACCACATCAATTCTCATGCCATTTAGATGAAGGGATTTTTTTTTAAATTTCAGCAGAAGCCATTTGGGGTCAAAAAGACCCCAGATTTTCTCAGATACACACAAAGGAAAGAAGAGAAGAGCCATGACTGTTCCAGCTTTTCTTGACCATGAGTTACATTTTACTGGTTTGGGAAAAATTGTCTCTACAAATCAGTTTCATCCTACTGTAGTCTGAATCCTGAAGGTGTTTTAAGCCTTTTATACTTTCGGAGTGCACGAGTCTGCGTGACGTAAAACAATCATCATCGGAGGGTGTACACGGAGACTCTCTGTGGATATCTGTGTACCTCCCATTTTTTGTGACTGCTCGCACAAGTACGCGTGGTCAGTAGGTTACAAAAGCACCAATTGCGCATGTGCAGGCTGTGTGAAGTCCATCGCTATCTGCACCACTAAAATCTGTCAAAAAAAACAATATAAAGACGTGTGCAATAATTCATGGAGGGAAATTGCCCAGAGTTTGGGCAATTGCTTGTTTACTGTTTACATGTTTGTTTACTGTTCAAACTGATCTACTGCGCATGTGTGGAACACGTCCACCGAGCGGACCACCAGCAAACACTTTCAGTACTATAAATACAAGTAGTCCGCATCCGTGCTGTCCGTGTCTGCGTGCGCAGTTTGGATGCGTAAAGTATAACACAGACTTTACAGCTTTGTTTCAATGTCAACACATGCAATTCTTTAGAGATCATCTTGTGTTATATTTGCTGTATGAATAAATATGATGCATCTGTAATGAGTATTTTCCTCACCACATTAAGAGCAGATTTTTTGTGGCTACATGCGCCATGATTGCCGAGAACAGCGACCATCATTATCAGAATACCGCTGATGACCAACGCCGTCACACCTGACAAACAGAACACAAAGTCAAGGATAAGCTTACAGACTGAAAAAGTGAGTGTAAATATAATTTTAATTCAACAGATATAAAATGAGAAACAACAGAAGGACAAACCAAAAGTGAACGGTGTTGTTTTCTGTTCATTCATTTGGTACAATCCTATGAATGTAGTGATGACCCGAAACCATGTTCCCAGACAGACTAGCCCAAAACCCACCATCTGAAAGAAACACATCGTTGCATCACAATCATCATCACTGAATCACAATCATTATCATCACTACATCACAATTAGGACTGCACAATATATAATTTTAGCATCGATATCACAATGAGCGCATCCACAATAGTAACAAAGCAGAATGTGTAATGTGAAGTATAGGGATCGTAGTGGTAACACTTTACATTATTGGTGTAGAGTATACAGAGTGATGGAACCAATCAGTAGATATGGGGTGATTAGGAGGCCATGATTGTCAGAGGCCAATGGGAAAATTTGGCCAGGATGCTGAGGTCACAACCGTTTAACGTCTCATCCAAATGAAAGTGCTTTTTGACAGAATAGTGTCCCCATCATTATACTGGGGCGCTAGGACCCACAAAGACCACAGGGTGAGCACCCCCTGCTGGCCTCACTAACACCTCTTCAAGCAGAAACCTAGTTTTCCCAGGAGATGTCCCATCCAGGTACTGACCAGGCAAAACCCTGCTTAGCCTCAGTGGGTGACCAGGCGAGAGCTGCAGAGTGATAGCTGCTGGCTTAATGAGTTATAAACGTTAATAACTTGTGAAAGTGAAAAGCATTATGTAATAAAATCACATTTTATTTTATTTTTTAACACTAAGCCATATATCATTACAATTTGTTTTTTGTTTGTAGAGCTAGCAAGTGTCAACCACCACATCAATTCTCATGCCATTTAGAAATTAAAGCAATAACATTTCAGCAAAAGCCATTTAGGGTCAAAAAGACAAAAACCCAGATTTTCTCAGATACACAAAAAAACGTTATAAAGGTTAATAACTTGTGAAAGTGAACCTTAATGTGACGTGTACACACAAATCATTTATTTATTAATTACTAATGCTCACAGTTTTTTTTCTGGTGAAATGTATTTTATTGTTGATGCACTATATGTTAATATTTAAATATAACACTTAAGTATATTTGATCTAATTTAATGGTTTTGAAATAGCAATTTGAAATAATCATGGAAATAATAAATCAATGACCAAAAGCACCATGAAAAAACATTATCATGATATCAAATATAATTACTGATTGCTTATTAATATGATAAAAGACCACTGTAACTGGAGTATTTGGCCATCCACACTTGCCATATCTGTGCATGAGCAAACCGTCCACAGGAGCACTGGTGTGTTTTTTTTTTTCATGGAAATGCTCCAGTTACTACATAACATCGGTTCCCTGAGATAAAGAAATGAGTGTTGCGTCAAGGACGCTTATGCAGAAATTGTAAAAAAAAAAACCCTGTTTACTCCGATACTAAGGCCTCCAGTACTCCCACCCACTACATTCATGTTTTGTCCTGCTGCCGCCACATAAGAGTAGCCAATATAGGTTTTTTCTGTACATCAATGAAATTTACATGTCAGTAAGCTCTGTGTCGCCTAGCCACAACCAGCATTATTTCATAGTGTCCCAGCTCAAACACTCCCAATAAAATATTTGTTATTAAAGCATCAGCATTCACAAACCACTGTTATTTTTAACAAAAAATAAACCATAGGCTGCTACAGGCATGATTTAGAAGCGGAAATGACGTCGTTCCACACTCTAGTAGGTGGCGGTACTGCACATTTACATGTCTGAAGCGACTTTGGTAACACGTGCAAATTCAAAAGTAGCGTCAGAAGAAGCGTTCTCTTTGCTATTATGCACTGGAGTGGCCTGGATCGCAGTTTATTTGTAAGGTAAGTTATATCTGTACTCAGTGTATATTATTTGACAGATTTCACTGTATTATTAGTGTGGTTGATGTCGTATTACACTAATATCAATATATTGACTATTGTTTATTCCACTAGTAAGCTAACTTGCACATGGTGCTAATTAGGGCTGGGTTGAAATCTATTTTTTTATTTGAATCATTTCTCATTGTGACAGTGATCTCATTGTAAATCCCAAGAATTGAGAGATGCTGTTTTAACTTGCTGCATGAGCAAAACTTAATGAAATATTATTTGTAGTGCGCCTCCTAATAAATCACAATAAAGCTTTGTTACTTGTGATATGAAGCAAAGTGTCAGATTTCAAATTCTGTCAATTGTATTACTAAAGTTAAATCTTGTGAATATGTGTTGAGAAACCTGCAAAGGAAAAGCTAAGACTGTTATTAATGTTAAGTGAGCTTCTTGAGACTGTAAATGTTGATACTCACCTGTTTGTGTTTACCATCTCGGTTGTGGAATAAAGCAGCTTGTTTCCCCTATACAAACCTTGTTCCTCTCCTTACAGTTGTGACAGAAGACCAGCCTATCAAAGGAACACAAGATGGAAAAGTGGAATCCAACCACCTCCGATCCCTTCACCGTATTGGTAGAAACATTCAGTTCCTCACTTCAGTCACCACCCGTCACTTCATCTGCCTTCGCATGTCCCATGGGCAAGCCCACAACTTTTTCTGGTGAGGCGTCAGAGTGCAGTGGCTTCCTTTTGCAATGTTCCCTATATTTCGAAATGCAACCACACCAATTGGTGAGTGAGAGAGCAAAGATCGCCTTCATCATATCCTTGCTGTCAAGGCGAGCGCTTCAATGGGCAAGATCTATCTGGGAGTCTCAAAGCCCAGTAACTCATTCCCTAGACTCTTTTGTAAACCATTTCAGAGGAGTGTTTGGTACCTCAGCGATCTCAACCTGTGCATGACGAGCTCTTCTGACTATGACAAGTGGATATGTCCATTCATGATTACACTGCGGTTCCTAACTCTCGCCACGATCAGTGGATGGAATGAGATGGCTCTCCTCTCTGCATTTTGTCATGGGCTAAATCCTTCTCTCCATCAGCAGATGGTTATTTATGAGGATACAGTGGGACTTGACAGCTTTCTACAAAAGGCCCTGCACATTTCCCAACACTTAACCGCTTGCCATACTGAGGGATCGTCATCACCTGCCGCTTCACCAGACACCATCTCCCCAGTAACAGAGCCCATGCAAATGGACCGCTACCATCTGTCCACGGCAGAATGGCTTCGTCGGGTGACACAGCGGCTCTGTTTGTACTGTGGAGCAGATGACCATCTCCTGCCTTCCTGTCCAGCACGCCCCCTACACGCCCAGCTGTGGAATGTACTTGCCGCTGGGCGTGTAGGGCGTACACACCCCAATGTATTAAAGCTGCCTCACATTGATGCTCTCCTAATCCACAAAAAAAAAAAAAAATTTCCAGCAAAGGTCTTCATTGATTCTGGATCCTCAGGAAATTTTATATCCTCTCACCTCCTCGTCCAAATTCATCTTCCACGGCACAGGAATGCTACCCGCTATCAAATCACCACCATCCAGGGAAAACTGCTGGGTAAGGGCTTGGTGCGCTACCAAACACCAGAGGTCACTCTGATCCTTTAACCTGATTCTTCGCTCCCCTTCGTAGTTGATGTAGACGCCTCTACCATAGGTTACCATAGATATTATCACAGAGAAAGGTTGAACCACCAGTACTCCATCCATGTTCGTACTTCAAGAAGCTTTCCCCCGCGGAGCAGAACTACGACATTGGGAATCGTGAGTTACTGGCCATTAAGCTCACCCTGGAGGAGTGGCGGCACTGGCTGGAGGGAGCACTACACCCCTTCGAAGTCATAACAGACCACAAAAACCTCCAATATCTCTGTGATGCCAAGCGCCTCAACCCACGCCAAGTGCATTGGGCCCTATTTTTTAACTGCTTCAAATTCACCATAACCTATCTTCCTGGCCACAGGAATCTGAAAGCAAACGCTCTCTCTCGCCTTCATCAACCTGATCCTTCACCAGAGTGTCCAGAATTAATTCTCCTTCCAGACGTCTTTGTTTGTCCCATTAAATGGGTCTTGGATGGTCAGATTCGTGCCGCCACCCAAGAGGATCCTGCTCTGCTGGGAGGTCCAGAAGGGAAGACTTATGTACTCGGCACCTTTCGCCTTACCCTTCTGGACTCCCATACAAGAGGGTATGGGACTCAGCAAACATCCATCTCCAACAGGCAGTTCGGAGACACAAGGTCCATACGGATGTCTGCCATACCACTGCTCCTCAGAACCAACCGGGTGACCGAGTCTGGCTCTTCACTCGAGACATCCACCTCCGTCTGCCCTGCAAGAAGCTAAGTCCCTGTTATATCGGTCCTTTTCCCATCACAAGGCAGATCAATGAAGTGGCTTACGACATTAAACTCCCTGACCATTATCGTATCTCACCTTCCTTCCACATATCATTACTCAAACCTAACACTAACCCTCTTCTTCCTCCTTCTGCAGAACCCGAAGTACCTCCTCCTCCCAAGATCGACACCAACGAGACCAGCTTCAGAGTCAAAGAAAACATGGCAGCCATCTCTAATACCTGGTTGATTGGGAGGGGTACAGTCCCGAGGAAAGATCATGGGTGGACAGAAACAACATCTTGGATTCATCACTCCTCACCAACTTCCATCAGCTTCACCCAGACTGGCCTGCTCCCAGGTGCCAATCACCTGATTACTGATTACCACCACCTGCAGCCACTTCCCTTCACCATATAAAGGACAGTTCATCTCATTCACTCACCGGCCGGTCTCAAGGTTGCACGCTCACCTGTAGTATCTTTAAATACGAGTCTTTAATGATCCAAATTCCAGGGAACACAGGGCACGCTGGAGACACACATAGCACCAAATGACGATTAACACCGGACGCTCAACACTGGGAAACACAGGGCTTAAGTAACAATGAACTAAACGAGGGAATAAATGGGACACAGCTGGAATCAAATGAACATAATGGGAACAGAAACAGGAAAGACCCACTATGGGCATGTCACACACGAGGGAAAACTAGGGAAAAACAATGGGAGCAAAACACACAGACAGTCCATATTCCTGACAATTGCACATATATCCAAATGAACTGATATCGAATAGAGATTAAAAGTGAATCGAATAGTGAAATTTGTCTCAATACCCAGCCCTAGTGCTAATAAGTATAGCCTTATTCTAACTTAAGTTACTTAGCATTTTTTCCTCATTAGCCAATATTACACATATAACTAAATAAAACAAACAGGGATGTAACTTTTCTGTATCAACATTTTTCTGTATTACACATTTTGTCTGTACATCTAAAAGAGGCCCAAAGCACCTAATCAGGTATGGGTAATGCTCAAGATAGTAGTGTTTAGGTAAAAGTTTTATGTCTGAGTAAATCAATGACTAATGCCTTTTTTGGCATTAGTCTTGTTGTTATGCATTTTTGAGAATGAAGACTAAAATCAACTGCAGTTACATCCCGAGGAGTTCAAGTATCTATCTCAATGAAGACATGGAGACACTCATCAAATAATATATGGTAAGTGTATGTCAACCTGCACTTTTTACATTGTCAATGTAAATATATCCATAAAACATTGATAGTTACGTTAATTTTCTCATTGGCATCACAGTCTAGCTTTGCCCATGTGTGTGTAGTATGCAGCAAATTAGTAAAAAAAATATTTAATTTTAAGTTCAGTACTTGGTTCAGTCAAAGATTTACGTACACTGAGTTCAAAATAATTTTCTATAGTTTATTTGAGAAGTAATTGCACATTCACAGCTGTTACAAATGGCTATGCAGAGTAAAGTTTAAGTACAAATAATTACAAAGAAACATCAATTAATAATTTTTTTAAAAATGTGACATTTTGAAGTAAAATACTGAAATAGTTTTTTGGTCACAATAGTGACCGGTGGGATAACATTGAACTCAGGTATACAATATAAATCAAATTGCAGTTGTTAATGAAAATTGCAATAAAATATTGCAATGACAAAATATGGCACTAAATTAAAAGTTCAAATGTAACAAATAAGTTACAATATTGATGTTGTAATACTGGTAGCACTAATAT